AGATTAGAAACAGATGGGCTCAAGTCCATGACCAGCTCTTCTGGCTCATCTGCGAGTTCCATGTCTGGAGTGTTCCCAAATGAAAAGCGTCTTCTTTTCCCATTGCCTCTCGAAGGTGTAGCTCCTTGCCATTTTTTTGGAGTCTTTTTGTTTTGGAGTCTCTTGCTAAGTTTCTTGAAAATGTTTGACTGTAACACAAAAAAGTAATAACATTGTAAAGAAATTATAGTTTTAAAAATGCATTAAAATACAGCATTTTTTAATTTAATACACAATAAGCCACATCAGGAACAGAGCTTGGTGCCAGTTTATCGCACATACACTGTCCAATTACAGCTCTGGACAAATTGATATTTGATAAATTAACAGGGTACTGTTCTTAAGATCCTATGTTTTACTTACTGTAGCCAGAAAAGACTGCTGGTGTCTGCTCAATCAGTGACCATTGGATAGAAGTCCATGATTAGCCCCCTCCCCCCGTCGAAACATATTACCTAGTCCTAGTGCATCTGCGCATGTATCAAAGTAGGGTTACCGAGCCATCGGATTTTGCATCTCCAGCTTCACATGAGTAGTTTTATTTACAATAAACAAGATTACACTCGTGTATTTTGTGCTGAACACTATGGCACTAGACATTACAGTGATGTAGTACTAGTTCAAATTCACGTGAAGATGTGGACAATAATGTAAATAAATATACGTCTTAAGTTGGCGTCTGGACTTCTGCATTAGCAACTATTGCACAATTGTGCAGTAAGATAATAAAGATGTAGTATGCACGTATATAACATTCTAAGCTACTCGCTTTTCCTTTTTAAAAGATCAAAATACTGGCTCATAAAGTGGTGATAACGTGTTCTCTTTCGGCGGGTTATTAAATCTAATAAATCATAAATATGTTGACATGTTTAATAAGTAAACATTCATTATGACTAAGCTATGGAAAGTTGCTTTCGGCGGGTGGGGATGCACATTTCAACAAAGGGTGCAAATCTCGACAAGGGTGCACTTCTCGACAGAAGACCTGACATAAGGAGCCAGTGGTTTAAATGCACCTGTCTGTGGATCATGTGGACCACAGCTCATTTGCATACACATTTGGAATCTCCGTAATGTGTAGCTCATCATGTATTTTATTGGAAATGTGACAATGTGTAACAGTAATATGCAATCATGAATCACGAATGTAAAATACCCATGTAGTGTAGATATGGTGTAAAAGTAGGATGATTGATATTATCAATGTAATGTGAGAGGGACAAGCAGGGTTCATCAGGTGTGCTTGTCTGCCCCATGGGAGTCGTGACAGTTACAGAAAAGGTAATGTGGACTGCAGGATCTTGAGTGAAAAGCTAAGGAAAAAGAGACTTAGTGTTGAAGTCATGTATATTTTTTGTAAATATCCTTTTTGCCTGTAGACTTTTAACTGTGCTCTGTAAATAAGTTTTTGTACATTTCCCACTGTTTTTTCTACTGAGACGGAAAACGGCCATCTGTATTTTTAAACGAACCCTCGCAGTTTGGAAAGAGTATCTTATATTAAGACGCATTAGATGAGTTTGGGCTTTCAGCATCCACAAAGGTGTGAAGGCTGCTAAAAAAAAGCATGACTTCAATTACAAAACAACTAAGTACAGATGATGACTGATATTTAAAATTCATAGAACTCACACTACTGAATTAACCTTATACTTTAATGTTTAGCCATAGCAATCTGGCTGCACACCTAATGGTTCTTTGGCTCTTTTGTTAACTTTTATCCAATAAAATCGAATGTATTTATATAGCACATTTAAAAACAACTGCTGTTGACCACAGTAAAGATCTACAGATATACATAATGAACAGGAAAGAAATCATGAAAATCTCAGATTTTTACTCCAACAGTGTAGAGTTTTAAGATGGTCAAGCATTTGTGGAGCTCTCATGTGGAGAGGCAGTTCTTTGTCATACAAAATGACATAAATTAGAGTTTTTGAATACTCAAATTACTGAACATTAATTATACCTCAGTTTGAACTAAAAGCTAAACATTGTGGTGTTCTAGATTCCGCGTCAAACATTATAACTGTATAATGCACAGCGTTGTTTAATCCTTACATATTTCAGCATAGTTTGAGATTTTACTTCAATCTTTCCTTTTAAGCTCTCAACTGCCACACTGTCAAGTTCCAACCTATAATGACAAGTGTGTCAAAAAAATCATAAAATGATCAAAAGAAAAGACTAATTGTAGTCAAATGTAGTAACAAAGCTGCGTCAGAATTCAAGCATTGATATTATTTGCCTAAAATTCCTTTTTCCTATGGCTCCCAGTATCTCGTCGATCTTCTCCACCCGACGACTCCTTTGGCGCCTTCTGTAGCAGTTGAGCGGAATTCCAACTAGCCTGAAATAGGGTGCATTATACAACTGTATATTGGATATCAATTAAGAGTTTTAAAAAGGCATTCTAGTTACCTGACTTTGATCCTAATGGTATAGTCCACCCCATTTGTTTTGTGAATTTCGTTGATACTTCTTTATTCAAGGCTATAATCTATATATATATATATATATATATATATATATATATATATATATACACCACATGGATGGAAATGCAATCAGTGATGGGATGGCTGTATTTGTAGGGTATCACTTTTCAGTAAAAGTAACCTTAGTAACCTCCACAGGGTGGCATGGTGGTGCGGTGGTTAGCGCTTGTGCTTTACAGCAAAGGTCCTGGGTTAATTTACTTGTTAATTTACATGAATGTCTTGCATGTGTTATAACAGGTGCTCAAATAAATAGAAATAATATTAAACACAAAAAAGCTTTCACTAAATATGTCTTATTTTTTTCTAATAATTCATACTTCATTATGCAAATAAAACATACGGATTTCAATTGACTTGTTACCGTCCCTGCTACTATGCAATGTAACATTTCTCGATTCATTTCTCCCAACTTAACTTTCAACAGATCTCCAAATCTGATATCGGACATTTATATACTTTTACTTTAGCAGGTTTTACTTATGAGACACAGTTTGCACAGGAAAATTGGGTGACCAGCGTGGATTTGTTACGTGACAAGGCAGGACAGCACAGACTTGTAGCACCTACTAGTGGCCACTTTGCAAAACTGCAGCTCTTCCGCATCTGATTTTCAGCACCATAGACAGAGGTAAAACAGACACCGAATGCTTACTTCACAATACAGCTATTATAACCTAGTAATAAAGATATTATAGTTATTTCTGTTGCTCATGGCTAAATAGTGGTTTTGGCTTTGGCATTGTATGGTTTTGATCTCTCTTTGGTCTCATTTCCTGTGGCGTTGTGTTTATCAAGAGTGGATCACACCCTTGTCAATGATTTAAAGAAACCTATTGTCACGTGCTGAGAAGGATGAGGACTCAAAAAGCAGGAATGCCAAAAAATAATTATTTAATGATAACAAAATAAAAGTCCAGGTTAAAACTCAAAAATCCAAAAGGCACAAGCAGCAACGAAACAGGAACAGACATGACAAGAGAAGACGGAGGTTGACAATACAATGGACCAGCAACAAGGGGAAAGGAGCACAGGGTACATATAGACACAGACACAGGTGAAACACATCAGGGCGGGGCAGACAATCAAGACAGGGGAACACCACAAGAAGTCAAACTCAAAACCAAACCACAGAGAAAATGTCAAAATAAAACCAAAGTACAAAAATAAAAGCCACACCATGACACCTATGGTCAAATCCTATTCCAAAACAGCATTATTTTTGCAGCAAAATGCCACAAAAAATAAACTAAATAACCTATATTGTAAACATTTTGAAATGAATTTATATAACCAGGATTAAGGGCTCTGGCACTTGGAGATCCCTGTCTCCAGGTCACTCACAAATATAATCAAATAGGAATATCGGCTCAAAATTGGTGGACATTACATAAGTGTCAATCCACCAACTAATTTGTGAACCAAGCAGAACCAAATAAAATGCAATCGATAAAAGAGATTAGAGTCATTTGCCCATGTTTCACCAAAGTCCGTAAATGTCCTGTATCTCACTGTCCTGGAAATAAAAAACTCTTAACCCAGAGTAAAACCACATAAAAGAACAGAAATATCGATTTCTTTTATTGACTGATAACAAAGCAACACAAAAAGTAGTAGTAAGATTTAAGATGAAGAGATCATTAATTCATGCAGAAAATGAGTCTACATTGAGTGGCCTGACGTTGTAACATTTTGTCTCATACCTACTTCTCATGAATGGTATTCGAAAACATATAATGAGCTACAGATTATTTGCTCTAAAAAAAATGACTTTTCTCTGGACAGCTCACCGCTCTCATGTTGATAAACCCCAATGACAATGTTGATAAAAAATAATCAGCGTAATGCAATAAAACAGTTTCAGCCAATACGTTTGTCTGCATTTAAAAGATATAGCTTTCAATATCTGCCTATACCTAAGTGGTTCCTTCTTTCGCATCAGCCGCCACCGTCAGTCCCTCCTCCTCCCTCCCTCCCTCCCTCCCTCCCTCATCCTCTCCTCTCGGATCTCCGCACTGTTGGCTCGCATCAGCACCACGCGTTTTCGGTCCGTCTGTGGGAGCACTGCTGGACACCGCGGTGCTGCCATTACTTTTATCTTTTATTGTAATTTTTTTTATAGGGGGTTGGGTTTGAGACCATTCCCTCTCAACACCGGTGTCTTCTCGCTTCTGTCTCTTGCGCCTGACCGCTGCGTGTGGATGTTTGACCGCAAATCTGATGGTGCTGAGCAAGTGATTGAAGGCTCTCGGCCGAAGAGCATCAGAGCTGGCTGGGGGCCCCACTCTCCGAGCTGGATCCACCCGCTTGATCACAATAACAACAACAACATCTGCGCGCTTGTCCACCCAGACCCTCGCATCCGTGGATGGACTGTGCCCGCCTGGTTCTCTGCAGTCTCCCCTGTAAACGTGTGTGAGTCATTTGTGGTGAACTGAGAAGATGGCGGACAGGGCAGAGATGTTTTCCCTCTCCACTTTCCATTCGCTCTCTCCTCCCGGATGCAGGTATGTGCTGTTTTCCTATTGCAGTAAAAGCGATGGTGCGTAAAAGCGCGGTGGAGACTGCGCTATAGACTGTCGCTGTTTTACGCAGTGGCATTGGCGGGGGAGATGGTGAGACATGGCGATGCTAAAACAGTCAAATGTGATGCTAGATGAAGCTGAACGGGCCTGGATGTTGAGACAGCGCAGCGAAACGTGATCATCTGTATGATTTCTGAGAGAGACTGAAACCGATTGAGTACCCGTCTGACATGAATGACTCAAAAAAGCGGTTGAAAATAGCACCAGCCTCTACGTTTGTGCAATATTTGTTTTTGAGGCTGACATATGACGTGAGGGAGTTGAGATGCACACACGCCCTGCGCAGTCTCAGTGCCAAAAGAGGCCCACGCCCTGTTGAGGGCAGAGAATGAATTACACACTGCTCTAGAAGGCTTTAAAACGCGTGTAATCTGCCCCTGGGTCACAAACAATATGTCCACATGTTGTCATTGAATGGAAAGGACAAAGTGACTGGCCTTCTACTCAGCGAAAAGTCAATATGCTGACTTCAGGTTATAAAAGAAACTCTGGCCTTTAAGTGCAGTGTCTATTGATCTATATATGAATGTCAAGATTTAGGCACACATGAATTAGCTTTAGTTTGATTTTGATGTTCAAGCTCTGTGATGCTCCCTAAAGGGCCTATTTTATGTTGTAATATTAAGATTTCCTGATGTTCCCTGATCACTGTATCTGCATGGGGTATTTGTTTTGTAAAAAAAAATAGCTCAACATGCTGGTTCCACCCTGTGATGCCATTATAGTTGTTAGTCTCGGACGTGTTGCTTGTAATTTTACAGTTATTTCAACATCACTTTGAACTGTTTTGTATAATCACATTTGAGTTTGTTAATCTTCTCAAAAAGTCAAAGTCTGGGGTTTGTTTAAAACTTGCATCTTGTGTATTGGCTCACTGAAAATTAACAAAACAATTGTCCTATATTCTCTAGTATACTGCACATGTGCTTATGTTTGTTTGGTAATCAGCCGACTCCACTTGGTTTCTCAGGGATGATATTCAATAGACATTCAGTCAAGATCAAATCAGATTCAGATCATATTTGAAGCAGAGTCAGGGTTGAGGTTGAGGTGGCATTCATTGTGGTGTATGTACAGATATTGGAACACATTTTGACTTAATTTCAATGACCTGCTCAGCCTCTCAAAAATGTGTTTTCGAGTTAGCTGAATGCAATATACTCATAGCTGTTGATATGATTCATAAGTCATTCATGAACTTGGCTGGAGACAATCTTACAGATGTCCACGCACATAAGAAGCACAATGAGACAATAGCGTAACATTGTGCCACTGTATCCCATAATATGCAGCCTCTATAACTGAAGGATCAAATGACTACAGTGGTATTGATTTTAGGGATGGAGCATAGTCCCAAAGACCGAGCAAAACATTCAAGGAGAACAAGACAATGCCACAATAAATAATATCAAAACGATTATATTTCTTGACCCAATTTTGAAACATTTCATACTGTATATATTGTACTGTTTTATCTCAGCCTTTTACCACCATCAGCACTCTCACATCCTGAACCCTCTTTATGTACAGCCAAAGTGAACAAAACACAATGGCAAGGTGTGTTTATTTGTATAACACAGTTCATTCATACACAAGGCAACAGTACATACTGTACAAAAGAGAGGTACAATCTTTCGGTTGTATGCACAGCTAACAAGAACTGTGTAAAAATGTAAATATATATATATATATATGTATATATGTATATTGTCAGAGAAGAAGTCTAAGTAAGACTGTACCAGGTTTTAGCTGCACAAATCTGAAATGCTGCCTCCCCATGTTTAGTCCTGACTCCCGACACCAGCAGGAGGCCAGTCCCTGTGCTCCTCAGAGTCCCAGTAAGAGGCCAGTCCCTGCTCCTCCAAGTCTCTGCAGGAGGCCACTCCCTGTGCTCCTCAGAATACATTACTTAGAAAACAGTGAAGTAGCTTGGATAGTATAAACCATAATTCAAATCTCATCAAGTTGATAAAACACATCTCCACTTTGACATTTTTATGTAGGTGCTGTCTTTGTCTTTATCTTAAAATAACATTCATGTTAGAATCTGTATGAAAAGCAGTTAACAATTTATTAATTACTAAAATGATTCTCATATATTTTAAAAACTCATTTAGGAGTGATTTATCAATTTATTGTGCGTTCCTTCCTCGAACACCCTGAGTGGATAAAAGCAGAGTATGTTTCCTGTTGTACCTGGTCCATGATGTCCCCCTCTATCTGCTGATTTAGAACAGGTCATTCTTATCTCATGACCGCTCGAGTCTGATCGATAGTTTTTGCCTGACCACCAGCAGTGACCTCAGGCTCTCAGTGCATCAATATTGAATTCAGAGCAGTGGGCAGTAATCTGAGCTCATCTTTAATGTACCATGATGAGAACAATGGGGAGACATACAGCCTCAGTCCTGCATCGCGTGGCCTCGGTCCTCGTTCTCCATGCAGCCTCAGTCCTGCATTGAAAAGTCCACGGTCCTCGTTGTACAGTCTGAGTCGTGGATCAATAGCACATCCGTCTGTGGGAGCGGAGCCTTCCTTCAATGTGGGCATCCCTGAGGTCTCTCATTTTCTCTCACTGGGCTTTTAGAGTTTTTCCTTGCCAATGTTTATGGACAGGTCTAAGGACAATGGTGATGATCCAAAACATTCAACAGCGTTTATGGACTTTATGAAAACCTATGGACATTGTCACGTGGGGAAGTCAAGGAAGAACCAAAACGCAGGGGTGCAAAATAGTAATGACTCTAAGTACCAGGGAGGAGTTTGAATAGTTATTTAAACTAATGGGGTAACAACGTCAGCAGACGCCATACAATCTTTGTGGGAATTCAGCTCTCAGACCAGACTTGACATTCTGACACAAAAATACATTCTTACACTCCCCTTAGCAGTGACACACGTCTGGAACGTGGCTTTGGGCCAAGAGCCGACTTTTGGACCATCCTGTACAGCCGTTTTCCAGAGTAAAGAAGACGTCATACAAAGCATTGGATAATTCTCTTTCTGGGTACACCCCCACCGGACCGGGGTGGTGTTGCAAGTCTGTCAGCATGTGTATGTGCTCATGTGCATGACAGCACATACACATGAGCACATGTTCTCATGGAGCATGTGCGCTGACAGATATGCGTTTTCCTGTGGGAGGAGCTGCCTGCATGGAATCTGCCCATGTCTGTGGCACATATACATTTCAACGAAGGACAAAAGGCGTCGCTACGTCCGTTAATATTTACAGTCTATGGTCCCAAATATCACTGATAATTCACATTATTAGCATATGCTCGCACCATCTACCTCGCCCATATTAGCAGGTGACATATTTTGACTAGCTCTCTGTTTCTTCCGCAGTAGATGTGCAGTGGTTTTACTTCCGCAGGGCCAGAGACACTTGTGAGCGTTCCGACCAATCAACGCTGACTGTGGGTTAGAATGGTGCTAGACCAAGATGATAGAGAGCCGGGTTTTTGCACTAAAGTAATGAGAAGGAATACTAAGATCCTCACAAAACCCAACCTTTGTGAAAGCTGTATAGATTCCCTGTCAACTGAGGGCGAGCTGTTTTAGTTAACACTGAGGTCTATGGCAAAATCTCCTTTCAGCCCATGTGAATTCAGGCAGCAGTGCGGTGGGGGGCCCCTTGTCCATGTGGAGATGGGTTTTGCAGCAAGTATGCTATCCAGATAATATAATACATCTAAGGTGCATTCAAAGAGCTAATAAAGGCCTGAAAATCGAGTTACTCTTTTTCATTAGTTTTACTTAATGAAGCAGTAGAAGTACAGAGACCATAGACAGTAATTGAGTATTCCTCAATTTTTGGCTTAAGGATTGCGAATTACAGAAAACTTGTATCTGATTGAAATACTTAGATAATATAAAAATAAGCTCTTAGTTCTCTAACCACAATATAGAATAAGAGGTAAGCCCAGGTAATGAAATTGATCTCACTCTAAAACAGTTTAGTTCTATCTCTAGTTTGTTGGAATCTTTAAGTGGCCTGATTGGTTCAAAACATTTTACTTTTAATCAGGAAAAAAAAGATTGGTTCACTGTGAAGAAAATGACAAACCATGCAGAGGTCTGGGATTGTGTCATAGATGCAGACGACATTTTATTGATGTTATACCGACACAAACAAAAATTTTACAGCAGTGATTTTATACTACGGAAGAATCATAGACACTCCTCTGAGCTCGTGTGACGGTGCAAGAGATATGTTAGCTTCGGCCTAAGTGGAAAATTATAGACTCCTGCATTTACTGTTAGAATGACAAGCTTACTTTTAACCAAAAAAGCTTCAAATGCTTTTATAATCAAAATCACAATTTTATAATAACCATACCACGCTTTGTGAAACAGACATGCATTTTGCCCTGTCCACACAATTCACCGCAACAGTCAGCCTCATTACACATCCTTGCAATATTTCAGTCTGCACCTCTTTTTCTTTTTCCCTTTGTCTGTCGGGTGCCGAGCGTTCATGATAATGGAAATCTCTTTTTAACTGGAAGTGTATAATCCACTGAAGCCGTTGGTCTTTCCTCCGTGGAATCAGACATTTTCCACATTTCTCACAGTATTTCCTGCAGGACGACAGAGGGCCGGGGGCTCAATGACAAACTGTTCAATAGCAGAGCGAGCATTCAATCAAGTCAATGGTCTGTGCGCGGATTCAATCATGTGATGGGGGCATTCCATAGAATCACAAGCGGCTTCAGAGAGAAAAAAAAAAGACAAAATGACTCATCTTTACAATTTAAACGCCACATTGTGCTGTATTTGTGTATTGTGTATTATACTGTAGGTTGTGAAATTGTGAATGAATCAGTGAATCGAACTGATGGAACTGGATCATTAATCTCTTTGTGACCTGCCACGGAACAGTCTGCTTTACTATTTTACTTTGTTGTTGGCTGTATCGT